TGCACAACAAAGGAAACTATAAGCAAGGTGAAAAGACAGCCCTCAGATTGGGAGAAAATAATAGCAAATGAAGCAACAGACAAAGGATTAATCTCAAAAATATACAAGCAACTCCTCCAGCTCAATTCCAGAAAAATAAATGACCCAATCAAAAAATGGTTCTCATTTTTAATCTGGAAAAAAAAATGATTTTGAAACATGGAGCCCCTGGACGTGAAACCTACAGAGTTCAGATTCATTTAAGATTATGCCTCCAAATTTCAGATATTTTATTGGTGCCTTTCTCTGGGAAGCTTCCACGACACCAAGTTTTCATTAAATGTCATGCCTCTGTGCTTCTGTCACCATGAGATCATTAATCGCATGAGGTTGCAGCCTGTACATTTGTCTCTGTCCTAATCTACAGGTTGTATGAGAGAAGGAACCATCTTCGTTTTATATTCTTAGTGCTCAGAGACTCAAAAGTAGTCTTTTAATCAGTTAACTAAGAATGCTTTATATCACTTCTATATATTAAAGACAGACATCCATAGATCTAAGTCAATTCTTTTAACTTCTAAGTGTTGTGGTTACTCTTCAATATATTCTTCCACACATACATGTTTCTCACTGTGTTTCTGAATACTTTTCCTTCCAAATATGTAATTTGCCAAATACAATATTTTAGAGTAGACTTAATTTCAGTCTCACAAAAAATTGGGTGAAGGGATGTCTGGGATTTGAGTTAGATTGTTATTACAGATTGAGTGAGGGAAAACTCAAGGACCACAGGTATGACAAAGTGTGTTCATAGAAAATAAATAGGTGTTCATTACTGTATTTGTATTACATGATCATGTCAGTTTCCCAATGCTTCTCTATCTTCAACAGGAAGGTAGAACTTCAGAATTAATTAGAAGGTTCTCCATGGTCAATGTCATTTCATGCTTTTGGTCTCTGAGTTTCTATATCTTATATGATCTCACTTGGGATTATTCATGGACTGCCCTGCTTATTTTTGTCATTGGCTACCTCTCATATGCATGAGGCATGTCTCCTTAACTAGATTATATGGTTCTTAAGAGAAAGCTTTTTTTTTTTCATATATTTCATTGCATCTTCAAATATATGCCTTGTCAATGTTAATTACTGATTGAATTTTGCATAGCACAATGTTTTCAACAAGTAAAATATAGCAGTAAAATTCAGGAATATTTACTTCTCTCTGTGTATGTAGAATGATATAAATAATAACTGAATATAATACTTAACTTACCCAAGTAGTTCTGATGGAAATTTTACTCTCTGTTCTCTGGGTCCTTGGATGTGTGATTTTTAACAGTGTAGTCTCATGCTTACTTGTTTATCCATCTCTCTGTGACTAAAATTCAACTGTTTTAGGGTGTACATGTCCTTTCTTCAACTAGTGGGATGGGGAGGGGGTAGGGAGGCAAGAAAGGATGTTTTGGAAAGAGTGCCAAGCTGATAGGAGATTCAAATTTAACTCCTAACCTTTTACAAATGGATTTGGGTGGTCTACATGATGCCTCTCTGTGCTCCCCCGTAACCCTACTGTTCTGCTTGTTAGGGAAAAGGAGATGGCTGGGAAGCACTTATTGCTGAAGCCAGAGAACTCTTAGGGGAGATGCCTTATGTGGAAATAGATGTTGTAGCTCTAAGACTGTAGATAAGTCGCCCTATCTGTACATCACCTTCCTGATGGGTAAATTTGTCTCATTTGGGCTACATGTTCTCCAGAGTCCTCTGTGATGCTCACATCCCTGTTTCAAGATCATAAAATATGAGGAAAATGCTTAGAAGGCATGGATGTTGTTTCAAATATATAGGCTGATGCTCTGCTCTTCACTGTTGGTGGAGGGGGACATTTTCCTTTGGAGACTCCTCTGCGTCAGTGCCTGGAGTTAAACTTCCATTCAGTCTGTGGAAGAGCAAGGAAAAGATCACTCACCTAGGTGGTAGATTCTAGTGTGAATTATAGTCCCCATGAAAAATAGAGTGTCAATAAAGTCAGTATCAGTTCATTTCAATTGCTCAGTTGTGTCCAATTCTTTACGACCCCATGGACTGCAGCAGCCAGACTTCCCTGTCCATCACCAACTCCTGGAGCTTACTCAAACACATGTCCATCGAGTTGGTGATGCTATCCTACCATCTCATCCTCTGTCGTCCCCTTCTCTTCCTGCCTTCAATCTTTCCCAGCATCAGGGTCTTTTTGAATGAGTCAGTTCTTTGCATCAGGTGGCCAATATATTATTGGAGCTTCAACTTCAGTATCAGCCCTTCCAATGAACATTCAGTACTGATTCCCTTTATGACTGACTGGTTTGATCTCTTTGCAATCCAAGGGACTCTCAAGAGTCTTCTCCAGCACCACAGTTCAGAAGCATCAGTTCTTCAGCACTCAGCTTTCCCTAAACTGGGTCAGACATCCCTGGAGGCACTACAGAAGATTTGGTGGTACAGGATATTGTTTTAAGTGACACTGACTTGGTGGTAACAAAGTTTTCAGGTTTCTCAAATTCTTCCAACATACTAAAAGGTCATGGAGCCTCCTCATGTGTATAAACTGAGAACCAGTCCTATTTGTGTCTGAGAAGTGAGAGCTGATCTCTAACCCTGATCTCCCAGTTGGTTGGTGCATCTGTGTTCTATGTGACCTATGGAGCACAGAAGATTCAAACTGTTACCTTACTGCTGAGCCTTTGTACATACATTTCTTACGGCTCTTGGACCATGTCTTGCACTCTCACTATTTATGAACTTGTTCTCTGTAATGAGTTTTATGCTCCTTTCAAAAAGGTATTTTTCCATATATATCCTACTATGTCTACCATAGTTCCTTAAACCTGGTGGATGCTCAAACATTTTCTGGAGAGGATTTCATTTTGATAATACAGAAAAGAAGAGATAACTCACTTTTCAAAGAGCCTTCAGTTCCAGGCAGGAGTTTGGTGGTATGGGTATGTGTTTTATTCTTTGTTACCCACCAGAGGCAGCACTTCTCTATTAGGCAAATTAAGTTCAGCAGAGCTGTCGCTGCATTTCTGCATTGTATTTCTTTACTTTTATTCTACTTTTTAAATGATTTATTGTTGTGAAGCTATATATAGAAGTGAATGTAAAATTTATGGGGTTTAAACTTCAAAACTAGTATTAACATCATACTACTGTCATTGTAATAATAGTTGTTTCCTGAAAATTTTGTATTTTCTAGGTTACTGTGAAAGATTTTAAAAATTCAATGTATAATTTATAACAACATAAATATTTAAGTACTATTAATATTAGTGATTTAACAACTGTGTGAAAAATAGTTATTGAATGCTTCAAAGGACAAGCAATTTGACTTTAAAAATTTAGCATTATTAGATTCAAGGTTTAGTTTCCCTGTTTTTAATTTATATTCTTTTCATTTTTGTCATTACATCACATTTCCTTGTTATTCTGTTTTCTGATTTCTGTTATCCTTATAAATAGGAATGTTTAATATTATTGTTTGCACTGTATTTGAGTCAGTTATTTTCCTTTAAAGCAGCAGTACTTTTGTTACAGTATCATTTAAAATGAAGGGACTTACAAAATTAGACTTTTTGCTTTTAAAATGTGATCATGTTAGTATGTTTCTCATTCTTTGCCATAAGTATATTTTGCTCAAAGTATATTACATTGTTTTTCTTTTTTATGTGAAATGAAGCCTTGATTTTGCAAACCAGCTGTACTTATTCAAGAACAAGTATAGGTTTATAGCTTCCTACATTGTGAAGACTTGTGTGACTGGCTCACCTTATATGATAATCATTCAGTTATGACCTTTTTATACCCATTTTTAAAAATAAATACAAACAAGTTTTAGTAAGCTTAATGATGGAGAAAAAGAAAATCTTCAAAATAACTCACTTTCAACCCAAACACAAATGTCTTCTCTGTTGCATCTTGCCTTTATAAAACTGTAATTTGGAAGTAAGCAAGTTAGTTTTCTGTATTGAAGCAGTATAAAGAATACATACGGATTTTCATTTTCTTCTTCTGTCTAATACTAATAATTCCAAATGAAAAATTTTATGGAAATGTCTTTAGTATTTATAGCAGTTTATTTATTTATGACTAATGTTGGTTTTATTTATTATAAAGCCATAATAGTTATCAAAATGATTAATCATAGATCTGTGTTCAGTATAATGACCATGTATGTAACAATATATAATTAGACATATGCTAAGGACATCCCTGTAGGGGGATTTGAATGTCAAATAGAGGGCTTTAATCATGTCTCCTTCTCTCTGTATGTTGGTGTTTTCCAGGTGATGATGAAGGAGTCCAGGAGACAGCAGAATCAGATGGGGACACGCAGTCAGAGAAGCCAGGGCAACCTGCAGTTGAGACAGATGACTGGGATGGACCAGGTAGGACAAAAATGGAAAATCAACCGTCTGTTGCTACTATCCACTTTTTTTTCCCCCTTGAATTTGAATTAAATAATAAAACTCTTACGCTCTCATCTCTGAGTTTAAAAAATATGTGTGTATATTTGTTACACAGAAGGCTGAATAAATAACATCATTTAAAGAAGATTTTATCTTTGGTAAGCTGTAAAAACCAGTGTTACCTCTACTTGAAGTTTTCATCTTTGTTTTCTTTTATATTAATGTAAGAATTTAGTCAATTCTACTTGCATTTTCTTTGAACAGATACTTTATGCCATATCCATTTTTTAAACTGGGCATACTTTTAAAGCTTCAAGCAATAACAGTACTCCAAAGAAATTCATTTAGTTTAGTCATGTTATAAGTTATAGATTCAGTCACAGTTTGTGTTTAGAAGTTTAGAAAATATTAACAGATACTCCCCTTTGATTCAGGTTTTGGTAACAATTTCACTTTTACAAATGAAAAATAAATTCAGTTTTAAAGACCTTGATGTTTAATTATTTCAAGAAAAAGAAAAACTAACTTAAAATACTCTAAAACACCAACATCATTTTATAAAAATATATAGTTACAAGAACCCTGTGGATAAAAAAACCTTTATGCCAATTTTATTTGGTGCCAACTAATTTGCAATTTATGGTATATTTATAAATGGAGACTATTATGTCATAGGGCTTAAGGATATACATGAGTTTTGAAATAGTTTTAGCCATAATTTCCAAAGCAGTAACATTTTTCATTAAGAAAGATCCCTATATTTCAATCACATTTTCACCCTTGCATGACTTATAATTGCTCTCTGTTGTGCATGAAGAAGAGAGGAACTCCAGTGGTAATTTTCTGAAACCGGCAGCTGGAAAATGCAAACAAAAATGAAGATACAGTATATCTGATTATTATGATGTCATTTCTAGTGTTAGTTATGACATATGCAAATGTTTGTACTATGTATACTATAGCATAGTGTTACACAAGATTTTGGATCAAAATGTATTATATATATAAAAAAAATAAAGTACTATAGTACCAAATTTTAAGCATTTGAAAGAAAATGTGGACATCTGGCATTTTCACCTTATCACACAATACTTCTGTCTCAATATAGGTAAGAATTCCCTTGATTTAAAAAAATAAGAGAAAAACTTTGAAAAAAAGTTTTTGTCCTTGGAGACTACATTTAACTTAAAAAAGGTGGGGAACTTTATGTTGTATGGTTGTTCATTCATGGGATTAGGTATGTATCAGCTACTTAGAAGACTTTTTACATTTAGATTCAATGGTCTTTCTGATATGCCTACCTGCAAAGGGTACATTCTGGATTCTCTCAAAGGGGCAAACTTGGAGGTGGCTGGCTTTCCTCCTCGCTCAAGTCTGCGGCCCCCAGTGTTCCCAGTGACTTGGAAGTATGTAAGCGAATTTCAGAGGGGTAGTGAATTATTAATCATGTACTGAACACCCAATGCTACCTTTTTCAGGAATATTTTCCAGAAATAAAGTCATATGCTAGGTAAAAAAGGAGGGGAGCAAGGGTAAAGCATGATAAGATTTTTCACATCTGAGTTATTTAATGTACTTAGTGTATCTAGTTTTATTCAGTTGATATCAGTGAAAATGTATATACTCTTTCTGTGGCACATTTGAATATGCAAAAACTTTAAAGGAAAAATGTGCACCTCCAAGCAGGTATACCTAGAGGAAATCCATCCTTTGTATGTTGTAAAATCAGTAACACATTTTTCCCTATAAGTGTTCTGAAAAATAAAGGGGAGTTTGTTATTTTGACATCCTCTGATTAATGAAGTTGATTCATAATAAAAGATTACCTATTGGACATGTATCTTTTAAGGTATAACATTCAGTGCTTTCCTCCAATCAGGAGAAACTATACAGGATGTTTCTGGACTTTTCCTTTTGCATGAATAGTGATTACATCAGCCATGCTCACGCTCAGTCGTTCAGTCATGTCTTGAATCTGCAACCCCTTGGACTGTAGCCCGCCAGGCTCCTCTGTCCATGAGATTTTTCAGGCAAGAATACTGGAGTGGATTGCCGTTTCCTCCTCCAGGGGATCTTCCCAACTCACGGATTGAATCCACGTCTCCTGCATCTCCTGCGATGCAGGCGGATTCTTTTTACTGCTGTGCTCCGGGGAAGCCTAATTACATCAATATTTTTACCCACATTTTTGTTTTTCAGAAAAATTATTGGTATTTCACTACTGTATTAAGGAGAGGAAGTTTTCGAGGTTTCCATACATGTTAGAAAATGAGCTCTGGATTCTAAAGGTTTAGGTTCAAATTCTGGATTTGCTGCTCACTTGCTGAATAATTTTTGGCAAATTGCTTAATCTCTCTGTGCCATTATTCTGATTTGTTAAAATGTGGAAAGTGATATTAATGCCTCTTAAGGCTTTTGTGAGAGTTTAAACCAAACTGTGCACATAAAATGCTAACGATCATTATTATGGCTTTGACATTGTTGAGACTTGAAGCAGAACCTTTAAAAATTCTTTTTGGCATTTTTTTAAAGTTCAGTAGTACGTCTGATACAACAAGGGTAAGCTTTTGTAATGCTAAGCATATAGTTTTGAATTTAGCCATAAATTGTCAGTTAAGACATGAGGTGATGAGTCAGGTATGATTTCAAGGTCTTCTAACTTTAAGAGGACCTCCCACCCAGTTCTGACAGTCACCCTAAGATGAACAGAATAGAACTAGAAATAGAATAGACTAGAAATAGAATATTTCTCTAAAAATAGAACAGAATCTAAGGACAAGGAAATTATCTAAAGAATTTGAGGCACAGAGCTGACATCATTTAAGATGGATCAGTATTTACCTTATTTTTAAAGTTTGATTGAAGACAACTCCACAACTTTTCTTGATGGCTTAATTCCGTAATGAATCACCTTCTATCTAAAGTGTTCTATTTGTATCAAATACAGATTCCCCAGTGCAATTTTCCCCTATTTGTTGTTCATCTGAAAGGCACATTTAGTAAATGCTTGTACCTCTGCTAACTCGGAAAGGTGGAACCTAAACAATCTTTGGGGCTTTCCAGGGGGCTCTAGTAGTAAAGAACTCACCAGCCAATGCAAGAAACCTGAGGGATGCTGATTCGATCCCTGGGTCAGGAAGATCCTCTGGAGGAGGCCATGGCTACCCCAGTATTCTTGCCTGGAGAATTCCACTAGACAGAGGCGCCTAGTGGGCTCCTATCCATGGGTTCGCAAAGAGTTAGACACAGATGAAGTGACTTAACATGCACGCATGCAAGCAATCTTTAGAAAAATTATCTTCCATTTGTAAAGATTTCTAATGGTGAAATTCTTTAATGTTTAAATACTTGTGACTCTTATTTGAATAATCTTCAATTTCTTATGTGTTTTTCATATTTGTGTGGAGTGCTAGACTCACACTAAGCTAATAAAGTTGAGGCCAATATAAAAGTCATTACCTCATTATTTCATATTTCACACATCTGTTTGCAACTTTCATTCTTCTTTCTTTCTCTCAAGAAAATTACCTTGATACTACCTTGCTTGGAATCTAGTTCAAATGAAAGTTGTTATCCACTGTTCTTCCTTTTCATCTGCATTTGCCTATACCTCACTTCAGAGGGTAAAGAATCTGCCTGCAATTCAGGAAACCCGGATTTGATTCCTGGGTTGGGAAGATCTCTTGGAGAAGGAATTGGCGACCCACTCCAGTATTCTTGCCTAGAATTCAATGGACAGAGGAGCCTGGTGGACTCCTGTCCATGGGCTCGCAAAGGGTCGGACACTTACTTCTCATACCTTTCATATCATTTCACTCTTCTTTTTAAGTAAATGCCTTTTCTTTTATCACCCTCACAGGTAATTCAGTCTGCCAGTACTCATACATTTAACTACTTAATGAACAAACATTGTACACTAAAAAACTGTGAAAGGTGCTGGAGAGAAGTCCAAACATGTAACATTATGCTGTCAATAAGCTCTTGTTTTTATTGAGATATAGTTGATTTACAATGTTGTGTTAATTTCTACTGTGTAGAAAAATGAATCCATTAAACATTCCTTTTTATATTCTTTTCCATTCTGATTTATTACAGAATATTGGATATAGTTCCCTGTGCTATACAGTAGGACCTTGTTTATCCACTCCATGTATAATAGTTTGCATTTGCTAACCTCTAACCACGCCCTTGGCAACTATAGGTTTATTTTCTATATATATGAGTCTTTTGTAAATGAGTTCAGTTGTATCATATTTTAGACTCCACATGTAAGTGATATCCTATAAGTGACTTCCACATCTGATTTCATTTAGTATGATAATTTCTAGTTCCATCCATGTTGTTGCAAATAGCAGTATATCATTCTTTTTTATGACTGAGTAGTGTTCCATTCTGTACCTGTACCACATCTTCTTTATGTGTCCCTCTGTTGATGGACATTTAGGTTGTTTTCATGTCTTGGCTATTGTAAATGAATAGTGCTGCTATGAACTTAGGAGTCCTTGTATCTTTCTGAATTATAGTTTTGTCCAGATTTTTGCCCAGGAGTGAGATTTCTGGATCATATGGAAACTCTATTTTTAGTTTTTTGAGGAACCCCCATACTGTTTTCCATGGTGGCTGCACCAACTTACATTCCCAACAGCAGTGTAGGAGGGTTTCTTTTCTCCACACCCTCTCCAGCGTTTGTTATTTGTAGACTTTTAAATGATGGCCATTCTGACCAGTGTTCACACTGTCATTTTGATGCCATTTCTCTCCTTTAATATTCTTTAATTATCCGTATATTACAGTTAGGTAGGATGCAGTAATTAAGCATGTCAACTTAGAAAGCAGATAATGATCTTGGTTACAGGAGAAAATACACAAATTTTAGAGCCAAACAGATCTGTATTTGAGTATACATGCTGACACTTATGGTCTTGTGACCGTAGGAGTATTGAGCTACCAGAACATGATCTTAGTTTTTTGAATGTTGAGTTTTAAGCCAGCTTTTCCACTCTCCTCTGTCATGTTCATCAAGAGACTCTTCAGTTCCTCTTCACTTTCTGCCAGTAGAGAGGTGGATTTGCATATCTGAAATTGTTGATATTTCTCCTGGCAGTCTTGATGCCAGCTTGTGATTCATCCAGCCTGGCATTTCTCATGATACATTGGATTAGTTACTGACTCTCCAAGGGCTCAGTTTCCTTATTTATAAAGTGGGACTAATTGTAATTACTACATCATTAGTGAGACTTTCTATGTAAAACATGGAGATCACAGTTTCATAAGTGCTCAATAGATAGCTATTAATATTCCTTTTAGTATCATTTTGGCAATTGTGCCTTAGAAGCCATTATAATGCCTTACAGATGATAAGCTCACATTTGTATAGTGAATTACCTTGCCATATTTTGCTATTAGAAATCATCATAGGGTTATATTAACTATGTTCTAGTCAACTGGGTTTAAAACATAATTCAGTAAAAGAAATTTTAATGTAAGTAAATTTTCAAAAATAAATGTTAAGCATAAAATCAGATATGTGTACTTGTTGCATCTGAACTAAAAATTGGTCAAGAAATCTGTAATGTCACCTCCTTTCAGTTGCTTTTCAGTATTGTGGATGCATGCAGAGGACAAGGCTAGTTGTGGTCTGTGCCTGAAATTAAACTGTGAAGATGGGGACTGTTTTGTGCAAAGTGGAATGGCAGCTGGGAGACTACTGTGAGGAAGCACATACTAATGATACAGAGGTTTTTTTTTTCCCTTTACTAGTCCAAAGAAGGGCTTGGAGATTACAGTTCTGATTTAGTTTCCTTTTTGATTGGGAAAATGTGGTAGATATAAGATCTGGGAAATGCCATTTGAAGTAAATTAACAGAAACCTATGAAACATAGTTAACCATAGATATAGTCTGACAGTAAGAAGAATATTGTGAGAAGCGGAGGAAATCGTAGAATGACTGTGTATTACTCTGACAGTGAATTGGTATTATCTCTGCTATCAGATAATGCAGTTATCATTAATTTTCACATTTGCATTTCAATCTTTGGAAGGAAATGACTCTTGCCGGATGAAGATAAGAGCTCTGTACCACTATAATGAACCATCATTTTATCCCAACTCTTTGTGTCCATATGAAAATGAGGCAGGGAGGAGTGTGTGTGGTGGGGGGGCGGTTAGAAAAACATTATAGCAAAGTGTCAAAAATTGCTACAGACTTTTGAGCCCCTTCTGAAACAAGAGGGGGTCAAAATAAATCTTCTACAGTGTAGTTAAGTGGATATCGGATTAAAGATGAAAGCCTTACTCTTTGTAGAATGGAATGTCACATAAACACAGTGAAAAAGTTTTCTTTATCTTATGCCTTTACTCCAGTTTGCACTCTGATATAGAATTAGAACACGCATAAACCTAACCAAAAAAAAAAGAAAAAGTTAGATTGAAGGCAGAGGACTTATGATTATTGTTTGGAAAGAGATGTCTTTGAGTAATAAGGAACTGTATAAAATATACCAGTTTATCATTATTATTCTTTCTTCAGATGTACAACAATGAGAATCAAGGATATTTAAATAATGGATTGTTTTAGAATATGCAAATACCTGATTTGTTTGCTCAACTTTAATTGAGAAATTCAAGTTAAAGGATAATGAGCTGAGATTAATTTATTTTGGACCTTTTCTTTCCAGTGACTATTTCCTCAAACACACTCCTGGAAAATAAAATACAATGTCAAGCCTTATAAATATAGCATGATCCCAGAAAAATATATGACAACACGTACTTTCCTATCCTGGACCCTACTCTCATGGCGAAATTCATTAATTAATCTTTTACATTTGAAACTCCCTTCATTAAACTAAAATTTCCACCCTTTCTATGAAACTTACTGATTGAGACTGTTGTGGGTTAAGTCAGGTCCCCTCGTAATTCGCATGCTGGAGATTTAAATTCCAAACTCCCCAAAGAGTATGGTGTTATTTGGAAATAGGGTCATTAAAGATGTAGTTAGTTAAGACAAGGTTGTACTGGATTAGGGCAGGCCTTAAATCCAACATGACTGGTATCCCCATCAGAAGGGGAAATTTAGACAGACCACATACACAGGGAGAACATTGTGAAAATGAAGGCAGAGATTGAGGTGATGCTCCTACAAGCCAAAGAAGGCTGAAGATTGACAACAAATCACCAGAAGCTAGGTAAGAGGTATGGAACAGATTCTCTCACAAAGCGCCCAAAGGAATCAATCTTGCTGAAGTTTGATCTTGGACTTGTAGACTCCAGAATTGTGAGACAATATGTTTCTGTTATTTAAACTACATGGTTTATGGTACTTTGTTACAGCAGCTCTAGTAAACCAGTGCAGAGACCAGGAGTTAGAATCATGTGGGCAGTCATTATATGCCTGCCAACTATATATGTTACTGTAATTTTTAATTGATTTTAAATATTGTCTAAACCACCTAAATATATTTGCAAAATATGACATTGTTTCTATGGCAACCATATTGAAACCTTCAAAAGACTGGGTAAAGAGGAATAACTAAAACATTTAGGTTGGACAAAGTAACTTAAAGAAGTGGGGAGAAAATCATAAAAATATTGTAAGAATCTATTGTAGATGGCTTTGCAAGTGCTTTCACATCCTCACTGTACTCTAATGAAAGAAACTAGAAATTGTAGATGAAGCATTTGAATGACATTTATGAAACTGGAGGACCAATCAGTGGACTGATTGATGAGCATCAATAGGGTCATTAAAGATTATAGACCCAATACAGTGGAAGATCTAGGCCTTACATCAAATGTTTATTAAATGTGCTTTTGTATATTATAATGTACTCTGTATTATAATACTTTTATTATTTTGTATATATATAATACTTCTAATATAATACTTCTATATTCTATAAGTAATATAATACTTCTATTATTATTTAAAAATCATTCCATGGGTTGGCTGTTTTGATTAACTACTCACCTCAATTTTGTCCAATAATAGAACTTCTACTGTGTTCCTTCCTCCTGAGTCATAATTTGCTTTAGAATTCTTCTCAACATGCACTCTGGGAAGACACTTGTCAATAGAGTATGAGAAAAACCTTTGATATCCCTTTTATAAAGAAGGTCTGCCCACAGTGTGGGAGACCTGGGTGCAATCCCGGTTGGGAAGACCCCCAGGAGGAGGGCATGGCAACCCACTCCAGTATTCTTGCCTGGAGAGTCCCCATGGACAGAGGAGCCTGGAGAGCTACAGTCCATAGGTCGCAAAGAGTCAGACACAACAACTAAGCACAGGCTATCTCTTTGATAACTCTTTTTATTGAAACATATGCATTAGATGTTTATCATGGCACAAGGATTTTTGCAAAATTGTTTTCCTTGACTCAACATTGTGTCTGAAAAGATAACTAAAAATATGACTGACTCTTAAACCTAAAAATTTGAAAGAAAACCTAAACTGTGTAATTATTTGCTTTTCTTTTGTCTGGTTCAGAAAGGGACTTAATAAAGCTCTGAAGGGTAAGTAAAGACGAACACAGCGATGAACACTAGAAGCAGAAGTAGTTTAAAATGATGGAAAATAAAAGCAAGCACATAGAGACAGGCACACTTGCTATTAATGGGCCACAAATTGAAACTAGATTACTACTCAGTTCAGTTCAGTCAGTCGTGTCTGACTCTTTTTCAGCCCCTTGGACTGCACCATGCCAGGCCTCCCTGTCCATCACCAACTCCCGGAGTTTACTCAAACTCATGTCCATTGAGTTGGTGATGCCATCCAACCATCTCATCCTCTGTCATCCCCTTCACCTCCTGCCCTCAATCTTTCCCAGCATCAGGGTATTTTCAAATGTTCTTCACATCAGATGGCCAAACTACTGGAGTTTCAGCTTCAACATCAGTCCTTCCAATGAAAACTCAGGACTGATCTCCTTTAGGAGGGACTAGTTGGATCTCCTTGCAGTCCAAGGGACTCTCAAGAGTCTTCTCCAGAAAACCACAGTTCAAAAGCATCAATTCTTCTGCGCTCAGCTTTCTTTATAGTCCAACTCTCACATCCATACATGACTACTGGAAAAACCATAGCCTTGACTAGACAGACCTTTGTTGGCAAAGTGATGTCTCTGCTTTTTAATATATTGTCTAGATTGGTCATAACTTTCCTTCCAAGGAGTAAGCATCTTTTAATTTCATGGCTGCAGTCACCATCTGCAGTGATTTTGGAGCCCAGAAAAATAAAGTCTGACTCTGTTTCCACTGGTCCCGCATCTATATGCCATGAAGTAATGGGACCGGATGCCATGATCTTAGTTTTCTGAATGTTGAGCTTTAAGCCAACTTTTTCCCTCTCCTCTTTCACTTTCATCAAGAGGCTCTTTAGCTCTTCTTCGTTTTCTGCCATAAGGGTGGTGTCATCTGCATATCTGAGGTTATTGATATTTCTCCCAGCAATCTTGATTCCAGCTTGTGCCTCCTCCAGCCCAGTGTTTCTCATGATGTGCTCTGCATATAAGTTAAATAAGCAGGGTGACAATATACAGCCTTGACGCACTCCTTTTCCTATTTGGAACCAGTCTGTTGTTCCATGTCCAGTTCTAACTGTTGCTTCCTGACCTGCATACAGATTTCTCAAGAGGCCAGTCAGGTGGTCTGGTATTCCCATCTCTTTCAGAATTTTTCACAGTTTATTGTGATCCACACAGTCAAAGGCTTTGGCATAGTCAATGAAGCAGAAATAGATGTTTTTCTGGAACTTTCTTCCTTTTTCAATGATCCAATGGATGTTGACAATTTGATCTCTGGTTCCTCTTTTCTAAATCCAGCTTACTATAAGATTATTTAAAAGGCTTATATTGATTAACAGATAAAATACATTTCTTATAATCGGTAGTTGAATTTAGATCCTTGAATAAATTCAGGTTCAATATTGTAGGCAACAGTGCTACATATATGTTCTGGTGCCTTCCAATGCATCATATCAGTAAGAATGTACAGGCAAGGCCACTGTTCCACTCACTGTGGTGAGTTTACTGTATCAAGTGGTTCAGGTATTTTCACCTCCATCTATTGTAAAATTTCCCATCAACTTTTCACCTAATGATTACTGCCAGAATAATGTAAATCATTAGGGCTTGCAAAATGGTGCCTTTCACATTTTTATCATTCCTTCTGTTTTATTGGTGGTGGTGGTTTTGTCGCTAAGTTGTGTCTGACTCTTGTGAACCCATGAACTGTAGCCTGCTAGACTCCTCTGTCCATGGGATTTCCCAGGCAAGAATATTAGAATGGGATGCCATTTCCTTCTCTAGGGTCTATATTATTAACTAACATTGTTACCTTCTGAAAAATCTTTCCCTCACCTACTATTCAGTTACCCCTAAATGCTATTCATAAAGGAAAGAGTGTTTAATTCTTTCCCATTACATATCAATTTGCAGAATAGTAAAGAATGGTAGAAGGCTGGTAAAATAAGCTGTAAACTATTGTTGGATTTAAATTCAAGATCTGTGTGAAGACATGTGATACATATCAACCACATACTGAGAATTATATTAAAAATAAACTACTTGTACTAAAATATGAAGAAAAGATAGAAGAAGGACAGTAGAAATAGAAATACAGCAGTAGTCTTATCAAGAGGTGATCATCAGGCTTTACTTAATGTATTTTGCTCATTTCTTTAAATTTTATTATTTCAACATCTATTTCCTAAGAACTGGGATTTTATGTGTGGATTTCTTTTGAGTTTTATCATTTTAATGTAATTGATATGCTAAATTTAATAATAATATATAAAAATTTACTGTAACTGTGGTGTGTTACAGGTATGCTTTCCCTTTTTTTCTAATAATAGCTCCTAATGTGTTACTTTTATTCTTGTTTAAGCCTCAGGAATACACTTGGACCTTGGGGGTTTTTATATCTTTGTTTTCATAATAAACTCCTACACTCTTTCTGAGATTAATTCTTGGAGCAAGCAACTTACTCATAAATATAATTTGCATAAGCCTGCCAGATCATGTACTTCTTCCCCTGCACCTTAGCAGACCAACATTTAATTAATTAATTTAATTAGTTCAAACACTTATTGAAGAATAACTGTGTGCCAGACTCCAAGGATAAGATGATGGCTTGGGCTCAGACTACCTTCAAAAAGCTCGAAGTACAAGAAGACAAATGATGAGGTAATTGAAATCCATTCCTATGGATTCAGTTGGAGAGGCGCGTCCTGTGTGGAGTGGTGGCAAAGGGCAGGAAGGTCATCCCCTGTGGAGTAGGAGGCTGTGAGGGGAGTGGCTGAGCCGCCAGCTTTCAGAGACGGTAGGGAAGCATTGCTGATGCTGTTGGTGAGACATAAAGCTGATGAGATAAAACAAGCAATAGTAATCTCTTCAGTCATCCCAGGGACAGAGTGACAGATACCCACTGGACACACTTCAGTTGTTAATGATAGGAAATGTTCAGTTGTTTGCAAAATTATATATATTTTATATATTAAGTATAGTAAATGTGCTGCCATTTTGCCTGTATAGAAGCTTCCATTTTTCCTGTTAAACCTGCCCTACTGTACCACTGTTATCTAGAAGGCACTGTCCTTCCCTCACTCTTGGGCTTTCTGAAAGATAATGGAAACTAAAGTATCCTCAAGTCATGCATGGGAATCTATACTGGAGAATAGTTCCATCGATAAACTGTTGTACAACAGCAGTTAAAGAACTTGGTAAAAGGTCAGCTAAGAAAAAAATAAAGAAACCTTATTATTATTTTAGCCATCTACTGGAAATTGAGCAGCAAAGCAGGGTATGTAGTAGCCCAACTGGTCTTGCCTGTTGTTTGGAAGTGGGGTTGACTTTTGGAGGTTCTTGGAGAATTTTGGGCTGGAATAAGAAAGCAAGTCTCAATGTGGAAAGTCTAAACTTTTTGTTAACAGCAGAGTTGTACTTGGTGGACTTCCCTGTAGGCTATATTTTAAGGGTCCTTAAAAGAAAATTTCTAAGTGCTGCATATTTAAAAAAAATTATTGAATACATTGTCACATATAGGAGAGTAATGAGAATAACATATTTGATGCTAAGCATAGTTTATATTAGGGTAAGTACATGAGAATCAAATACCTTGAGTTTTCATGGCAGAATCTCTTGATGTTAACAAGAAGTATAACATTCTTTTGAACTGACAGTCTGAGTAAAAACAGTCATAAGCCT